CAATTAAATATAATGAAACTGATCGACTAATTAAAAAGAGAATAAAAGAAGCTAAGGAGAGAATGTTACATGAGCAGTGCCAAGAACTAAAAGAAATTGAGTAAAAATATGACTTTTTTAACATGCATAAAAGAATTAAATTAACAGGAATGAGAAAAACACTTCCAACTAGACAACTAAGAGATGAAAGTGGTGCACTTATAACAGATATAAACCAAAAAATGCAGAGGTAGACACATATAGCACAACTTTTTGAAGACAAAGAGAGAACAGAAACATCATAAGAATTTAAGGATGATACTGGGCCTGACATTATACGAGAAGAAATTGAATATGCAATGAAACAAGCTAAAGATGGTAAATCTCCCGGGCCTGATGAAGTTTCCATCGAATTACTCAAAATTGTGAATACTGAATCTATTGATCTTCTTTTGGATCTATTCAATACCATATATAGAACAGGTATATTACCTAAAGAATGCCTCCAATCAACATCCATACTGCTTCCCAAAAAAGCCAATGCAAAGGAGTGCAATGAACATCGCACCATAGCCTTAATGAGTCATGTCAAAAAATTGTTTTTAAAATAATTTACAATAGAATACATAAGAAATTAGATAAAGGCATAAGTAATACACAAATGAGATTTAGGAAACGACTGAGAACACGAGATGCACTGTTTTTAGTAAGTGTTCTTTCGCAGATATGCTTAGATATATATCAGGAAGTATATGCCTATTTCATTGATTTTGAGAAGGCATCGCCAAGGGTGTATTTTATCACCCTTGTTATCAACCAATGTATACAGTGAAGCCATCTCAGAATTAGCGCTTGCCGAGATCAGTGAGGGCCTTATAATAAACGGTGAGCCACTTAATAACGTAAGGTATGCTGACGACACCGTCCTTCTGACAGGAACACTAGAATAACTGCAACACTGTGCTGAACAACTAAATATATATTGCAACGATTCTGGACTAAAAATAAATTTGAAAAAAATAAGGTTCATGGTTTTTACAAAAGCACAAAACACCAAAGTTAAGCTAGTATTAGATAATACAGAAATTGAACAAATATCTTCGAATAAATACCTTGGAGCATGGATCACAGAAGATACTGATCAGACAAAAGAAATAAGATGCCGCATTGAAATTGCACGGTCAACTTCGATGTTATATTTTCTCTACCCTTTTGTATGGAGTTGAAGCTTGGGCACTTAAAAAATCCAACATTAAAAACCTAGAAGCATTCGAAATGTGGTCTTACTGACGTATTTTGAAAATATCATGGATGGATCGCAAAACAAACGAACAAATTCTCGAACAACTAGGAAAACAATGCGAAGTTTTAAATTCCATAAAAATCAGGAAATTGGAATACTTGGGGCACATCATGAGAGGTGAAAAGTACGAACTACCAAGGAATATAATGCAGGGTAACATCAAAGGCAGAAGAAGCGTAGGAAGACGTAAAATCTCGCTACGCAATCTCCGTGAATGGTTTAAATGCAGTTTAATTGAATTATTCAGGCGAGTAACCAACAAAATTATAATTGCCAGAATGATTTCCAATCTCCGATAGGAGCGAAACTTGAAGAAGAAGAAGAGGCAAAAAAATGAAAAGGAATCAAAAATAGACGAGATTGTCAAAACTTTGTGATGTAGTTAAAGTTCATCCAAAACAGGTATAACAATACAGACGATAAATATCTACCAGTTGATTGGATTTAATTCATAAGAACATAACATAGCTTAGCTTAATTTCGAGCAAGTAAAAAATCAATAAAATAATTTTGGTTGCCAATATATATTGAAGATTTCACGTTTAAAAACACTTTTCTAAAAACTATTTTAAAACAAAAACCACATCACCGAAACATTCAGGATCTTAAGCATGTGAAAGTTTATCAATCAAGTTCTTTTTCAAGATTATACGATTAGCTATCGTGTACTAATAGGTAGTTTCAATTAATTAAACGGCTAATAAACAAAATTAGAAAATTAATTTAAAAACAAAAGATTTAATTTTATTCATGATACTTATCTTTATTGTACTTTGATTACGAATTTTACTCGTTTGATATATTTTTAATTAAAGAATTTATGAAGGTTTAATTTAGTTTGATGTAAAATATTAAACGATATAATTTATGATGTCACCGTTGCATTATTAGAAAATATCGTGGGACTATGGACCGGCTTCATTTATGGATAATATAGAGTTAGTTTCATGCTTTAAGTGGCTGTGTTTAAATTTAATATTTTAATGTTTATTTTAATTTATTTACAGTCTTTTAAAACTTATTTTTATTTATTTACAACAGTCTACTTACACTAACACTAAAAATACAATTAATTTATAACCTTTATTTACCTAATAGTGTAAATTTACCTTTTTTTCTGTAATTTTTTTTTTACCTCTTGACAAAACCCCGGTTTGGTGTGGTTTATCGCACTCGTGTTAATTTTTCGCTTTTCAATTGCTTTTCTGCTTCTTTGCTTTCAAAAGGAGTTTTGTACTTCCTGTTGCTAGCGACTCTATATTTTGTTTTTCGATGAGCATTGGGGCTTTTCTGTTTTGTTGCGGACGTTCTAGTAGCATCTTGCATAAAACAAGGTTGTGATCTCACATCAATGTAACAACTTACTAACAGTGTTAGAGACTGTATATGTAGTAGGTTGCAAACTTTATTCAAACTTTTATTAACTGTCTTATTTTGCAAGTACTTTCTTGCTCCTTATGTCATTTTTATTGCTTTGAATGTCATATGCTACTTTTTTATTACATGTTCTCAATTCTTCCATCCATCATCCAGTTTGTTAGACGTCTACTTATTTTCTGTGAACAAAAAATTCAAGACCGGTCCTGATAAAGTGAAATTGTAAAATTCAGCAGAGAAATTCAGGCAGTTGCGTGACCAAGTAGTGTGCATTCGTATGCGCATTTAAATAAAAATTTTTCTCGTTTCGCTTTGTGTAATACCACTAATACCAATACGAGAAATTTATAATTTGTTATTTGTTTCAGGTAAGCCATTAGGAGTTTTGCGACATTTTCTTTATGATCGAAACTCGTGGTAAGTTTATAGTTATTTACGTTTTAGTTTGTGTAATATGTTACGTCTGAAATACGAGGGTATAGTAAAAAGTTTCTCGCTTCGTACAATGTACCTGGTGACCAAATAAGAACGGCAGATATTAGAGGATACAGGCTCGAGATAACAAATATAACAAAAACGGCATCGAGAAATACCTGGAAATTATTTGGAAGGTATAGGTCCACACTGGTAGATGGCGTAATTAAATAAGAACGTAATTAAAAGCAAAATTTTACAAATTAAAAGAAACTGGAATCATCAGAGAGAGTGACGTTACTACACGTAGAAGCCAACTGAGAAGCCTATTAATATAAACATCATCCAAGTCTATGATCCCACTGCAGACAAAGAGGAGGAAGAAGCAATTGAGTTCTATCAGAACATCAACAGTATCATAAAGGGGGACTAAGACCAAATATACCAAATACCAAATAAAATCTAAGAAACTAATCTTTTCTGAAAAACGAACATAGTCTAGGTCTTATAAGTCTTCAAAGAATTAGCTAACTCTCAAGAAATTAAATTTATTGTCAGGTCGTATATATTATGCCAATTTTTTATTACTTAATTCTAAAATATTCTTACCAAATTCACAACAATCTTCCAGACAATCCTTGTCCTTCTCCTTTTGCTCTTGTTTTGACGAAAAGAAACTCCAAGATTTTTTACTTTTTTCCTTTGGCTTTGGCTTAGTGACTTTTGTTGGACATAGACCTTCCTGCGGGGGTTCCTTTGCTTTGTTGTCTTTAGTTTTGGGCGGTTTCGAGCTTGTGGCAAAATATCTAACGCAACGTGAGCCCATGGGGACATTTAATGTAGTGGTATAAGTATAATTCATGGAAATACATTTTTTTGCATATTTTACACACTTGGTGGTACCAACAAATTGTTTCTGTCTAGTTTCGTCTGTTTCTGAGCTTTTTGTACATATCTGATGTTGAGCTGTTGTATGTTTCTTCAGATCAAAAAATTTATTTACTGGATTAAACCACCCTGGGGTTCCTAGCTTAACACTCAAGTATTTGAGACATCTAAATTGACTTGGGGATTGTATTGGTGCTAAAGTTGGATTAATAATAATACTGCAAATTTTTTTAAAACTTAACAAAGCCATTTTTTAAACAAACTGTTGTTGGTGTTTTTAAAATGAGGTATGAGAATTGTACGTCAAAATTTATAAATAATGTGACAGATCTGTTTTATGGTTTATTTAGAAAACTGAAGCTGCGATTGGTCTAAATGTTTATACAGTGTTACTATACTTATTTTTTATAGTGTTACTATACTGTTTTGTAAATTCTAAGCTTAGACTCACAATTCAGTAACTTACTTTTCATTAAGTCTTTATATGCATAAAAGCACTTATTACCACTAAGAATCCGTGCTTGCATTTCTTAACTGATGTTGTTGTTGTCATTTATTATTGAGCCTAGGTCAGTGGCGGTTCCTTCATAAGTGCACATGTGCACGTGCACTCCCACAATTATTTTCATACAAACATTTATATAAATATTTAAAATTTATTATTCTATAAATAATATTTTTAATCAACTAATTAACCGTAACTGAAATCAGAAATTACAGATCCGAGCAGCTTATAAGTAATAGGTAACATTAATTATTTTTATTCTATTTAGACATGCGGAAATTTCACGGGTTCGTGACATGAGGCACAATCTCCAGAGCACTGCTCGGGTAAAAATTAATTTTCATTGGCCCAATACCACCGACCGCACTTCCCACTTCCCCGCAATAGTCAGGCGTTGTAGCTGGCCTGGTGTGCACAAATGGATTGTGATCGGCGATCCTAAGTCATATTTTCATTTTAATTTGTAGGGACGACAAATACACATTTAAATTTTGCGGTGATAGTGTTGCTTATAAAGTTTCAAACAATTTAAGAATGGAGAGCGTGAATGTTAGCGTGGATTATTTAAAATCAATTAAATTTTCTTCACTATCTTTAAAAGAAAAATTAAAAATTAAAAGTGCCGGTCGTCCTAAACCAAATTTGTTAATTTCGAAGGTAACAAAATGCAAAAGTCGAGATTATAAACGATCATTTAAAATTGAGATTTATGAAAAAACTGACTGGTTGTGTAGGTGTGCTACTACCAATACTCTTTACTGTTTTAGTGTTTGCTATTTGGAGATGAGGAATCAAAATGGACAAAAAATGGTATTAAAGATTTAGTTCATTTATCCGAAAAAATTAAAAAGCATCAACATTCAAAGTCACACATATCTGCTAAATTAGGTTTTAATTTATTAGGTAAACAAGATATTCGGCAACAACTAAATAGTGCATACCGATTAAATATTGCAAAACATAATGAACAAATAAAAAATAATAGTCTTATAGGTACGTCTTATCAAAAATTGTAAACTGTGTCAAATTTTGTGGTGCTTTTGAACTTGCTCTCCGCGGCCATGATGAAAGAAAGGATTCAATAAACCCTGGTATATTTAGAGGTCTCATAAATTTTTCCGCCGAATTGGATTTAGCTCTCAAAGACCATTTGCAGCAAGCTACTGTGTTTAAAGGAACGTCAAAAGACATTCAAAATGATTTACTCGATTGTATGCTTTCAGTGTGTCAGGCACATATCAAAAAAGAAATTGCTGCTTCAAAATTTGTTTCCATTGTGAGTGATGGAACGAGTGACATTTCAAATATTTTTCAAATGGTTATAGTTTATCGTTACACTTTACCAAACGGGACCCCTGTTGAAAGATTTTGGACTTTTTTAAAACCAAATAACCACGATGCTGTTTCCTTAGCTGGCTGCATAGAAGAATGTTTAAGTTGTGTTTTATCAAGTTCCGATAAGTTAATTTCTCAAAGCTATGACGGAGCAAGTGTTATGAGTGGCGTTCATGGGGGTGTGCAAAAACTCATTCAGGATAAATTTAGATATGCCAATTATATACATTGTTATGCGCATCATTTAAATTTGTTAATGTCTCAGGCAACAAGCATAAATACTAATGTACGTATATTTTTTGCTGATTTGACCGACATTACTAATTTTTTTTCAAATTCACCTCAGAGAGTTGCCATATTAGATGAAGTTGTGGGAAATAGGGTTCCGTCAGCATCTGCTACAAGATGGAATTTCAAAATTAGAACGGTGAACATGGTGTATGAAAATAGAGAAGCCCTAGTAGAGTGTATGGAAAGAATACAATCCACATCCAGGCAATCTGGAACCATAACAAAAGCAGGTGCACTTTTAAGGTTATTGAATGATAATAAATTTGTATTTTGGTTGAAAGTTTTTCATCGTATTATGCCCCACGTTGACATACTATATTCACAAATACAAAAAACTGCTACTGATTCCGTAATCGTAAAACGATGCCTGACTACATTTGAAGAAAATATACAAAAAGAAAGAGACAATATTCACACTATAAGAGACATTGAGTTAACAGACATTGACGATAGTCAATCCAGGAAGAGACGGAAGAAATATGACAGAAATTCTTATGTCTCCACAATTATTCAAGCTAAGGAAGTTTGCGATACTATACTATCTGAAATTAAGAGAAGGTTTTTGTTTACAGGACATTTGGAAATAACAAAATTATTTTCAGTGGACAATTTTGAAATATATAGCTCAAATTTTCCTACATTGACATTGGAATCAGCAATTAACAATTATCCCTTTTTAAATAAAAACAAATTAAGGACTGAATTGGAAATTGTTTATAGAAGATCCGATTTTAAAGAACTTTCCGGAGCAGTTCACTTACTTAAATTTTTGATTGAAAATAATTTGCAAGAAGATTTTTCTGAAATTTATTTAATTCTTCAAGTACTTGTTACGATGCCAATGACAACAGCTGAAGCAGAACGATGTTTCTCTACATTGAAACGTATCAAAACTTTCCTTAGAAGTACTATGGGCCAGGATAGACTAACTGCACTCGCCATGTTATCAATTGAAAAAAAAAATGATTCAAGAAATTCCAAATTTTAATGAATTGGTTATTGAAGAATTTATCTCAAAAAAAGACAGGCGACTTGATTTTCAATACAAAACTTGCTTGTAACATTTAAAAACTAAATTATAATTTTAAGTTTAATAAAATACATTATTTATTGTAGTTTCTTAATAAGATCCTTTGATTTTTACAATTTGACGACACTCAAAAATTTTTTGCTTACAGAAGTAGGGCTGAAGCGGAGGCCTATGGTATTATCTATTTTTATATGGTATATATAATAAGTGTGCACCCCCAATACTTTACACCAGGCGCCGCCACTGGCCTAGGTAGGGAAAAGTGGAGGCATATTTATAAGTATGGTTCTCTACTTTCAGATTCTCATGTTGATTCGTTTTTATGCACTCCATATATTTTGTTTTGCTTTCATTAATCCTTTGAATATTTGTTCAAAAAACTGTCAAAATACCAATTGCGGTATTCAAACACTTAATTTTCTGGCTAAGTATACAAGATATCATTATATTGCATCACATATAAATCAATAATTATAGAAAATGTTAGAATACAAACCACACGTGGGTTGTCGCTAGAGCAACTATTTTTTAAAGACCTCGCGGCTAGAAATGACGGACGATTAAGCGGATCTAACCGCAGAAATTATTCATTCGCACCATTTAAGCTGTTTAAACGTTGCTAATCAGTCTTCTGCATAACATTACGGATTATGTCATCCTTTAAAATTAAAAGTAAATCGACTCTACAACTACCAGTAACACCATTGCAGCTGAAAAGTGTGTCAAAGAAGGAGAAACTTGACAATTATATTGGAATGAATTAATTATGGAATGCACAATAACGCAACAAAAGATGTCAAGGGAGTGTAAGATAGAACTGATGAAGAGGTAGTGGCTACAATGTTACATCTGACTAAAATATTTACTGTTCTTTGATCTAATTATTGACAATTACCATATTATTTTTTTGGCAGAATTCCATGCGACTTCTATGTCCTTTCTCGTTTCAAGTTCCTAATCCGAACTGTCCTACTATATTTTTAACTATACTTGCTTCAATTTTTGCATTAAAGTCTCCTAAAATGTACATAATATCTTATTGGCAAATACGTTCAAATAAGTTAAAAGTTGGATGAAGAGAAAATATGGACGTTATAAAAGGTTAATTGTTTTAAAATGATATCTCGAAGGTTACATTTCTTCGGACATATTATGCGAAATGAATCCAGATATGCTCTCTTTCAAGCCATCCTGCAAGGAAAAATATTTGGAAAATGAGGTTCAGGAAGAAGAAGAACATCTTGGTTAAAGAACCTCAAAATCTGGTTCAATACAACATCTGTGCAGCTTTTCTGCGCTACTGCAGATAAGATAAAGATTGCCATGATGATCGCTAACATTCATAACGGATAGGCACATCATCATCATCATCATATAACGGGGGTCCTACAGCGATTGCCGCTTCCCGCATTTCAGCCTCCATCTTTTCCTATCTCCCCAATCTCCCTCTTCTAAGCCTCTAGATTGCATTGTTTTTGTAATTTCTCTTCTCCAGGAATTTGGTGGTCTTCCCCTTTTCCTTCTTTCTGGCGGAACATACATTAAGGCTTTCTTTGGCCACCGCTCCTCCTCCATTCTCATCACGTGACCATACCATTGTAATTGCCTTCCTTGTATTCTATCTGAAAGAGTATCTCTAATTCCTGTACGGTTTCGTATTTCCTCATTCCTGATTCTTTCCATTCTCGATACTCGACATGACCTTCTAAGATAATCCATTTCCACAACATCTACTTTATCTCGTTCATTCTTTGTCATCGTCCAACATTCGGCACCATATTTGGTAATTGGTTCTACAATTTCTCTGTATACGCGAAGTTTGGTATGCATCTTTATTTTATTAGACCACAGTAATGAATTCAGTATTCGGATGCATTTTTTCCCTTGAGTTATTCGGTTTTGTACATCTATCTTAACTCTGCCATCTGCTGATATGATGCTTCCTAGATATTTATACTGGTTGCAGCCTTTTATGACTGCGTTTTCAAGCTCAGATCTGTGGTATTTCCTCCAATTTTTAAATATTCTGTTTTGCTTATGTTTACAGTAAGCCCCCATTTGGCATATTCCTCAAATAATTTTCGATTCATATAATTTATATCTTCCTCATCGGTTGCAACCACCACCTGATCATCTGCAAACAACAATGTATACAGAGTTTCTTGTCCCACTTCGATGCCCATAAATCTACATTTATTTCTCCAATTCCTCAATGCTTCTTGGACGTATATTTTAAAGAGTGTCGGTGACAAACAGCATCCTTGCTTTAGGCCTTTAGTGACTTTAAATTCATTTGAGGTTCTGGTTCCAATTTTTACACAGGATAGGCACATCAACAAGAAGATTATTAACAAGAAGGTTATTAACGGTTATTGTTATTGTTATTATTATACTTTCTTATCGAGTGCTCATCACTGAACCTGTCGAAGAACCGTATAATATGATTTCTCAAACGTTTATACTATCCATCCATCCAATGGCACTACAGCCCAAGCCGGGCCTTGGCCTCCTTCATTAGACCTCTCCAAACATCTCTATTTACTGCTGTTCTTTTCCATGAACGTGTTTTTAGGAGATTTTTGGCATCCTCATCTACCTCGTCTTCCCATCTCTTTTTTGGTCTTCCAACAGGTCTTTTTCCTTGCATTCTTGCGTTTAGTAATTTTCTGGGGATTCTGTTCTCATGCATGCGGGCCACATGCCCTGCCCATCGTAATCTCTGCAGTCTAGTGTATTGTGCTAGTGTTGGTTCAGTGTATTGTTCGTATATTTCGTTATTATATCTAATTCGCCAGTTGTTATTTTCCTTTATTGGACCCAGTATTCTACGCAATATTTTTCTTTCGAACACGTCTAATGCATTGGTAGATTTCTGTGTTATAACCCATGTTTCACACCCATAACTTACTATGGGTCGGATTATTGTTTTATATACCCGGAGTTTTGTTTTCCGGTGTACGTCTCGCGATTTGAATATGTGGCCCATCGCGAAATAGGCTTTGTTTGCCAGCATAAGCCTTCTATTTATTTCCGGTTCTTCTTCATTATTTTCGACCAGATCCATTCCTAAATACGTGAATCTATTCACGTATTCTATATCGTCTATAAATTGTTGTTGCGCCTGTCTATTTGATCTGGTTTGTATGAGTAGTTTTGTTTTATTTGTATTTATTGTTAGCCCTACAACTTCTGAACTCTGTTTCAACTGAACGTAGGTTTCTTCTGCTGCAGTCTTTGTTCTGCTCATTATGTTTATGTCATCTGCGTATGCTACTAATTGGGTAGATTTGTTTGTAAGTATGTTATTTCTGCCCACCGTCAACCGTCTAATTACATATTCAAGAACAAGATTAAAAAGTGTTGGAGCCAGTCCGTCACCTTGTTTCAGTCCTTGCGTTGTCATAAACGCATCAGTGATCTGTCCTTGAATACATACATGTGCTTCTGTTTCTGTCATTGTCATTTGCACTAGTCTTATTAATTTTGATGGTATGCCAAATTCTTGTAATATATTAGGTAGTATTGTTCTATCTATTGAATCATAGGCTTGCTTGAAATCTACAAAGAGATTGTAGACGTCTATGTCATATTCCCATGCTTTGGCTAGTATTTGTTTAACTGTAAATAGTTGGTCAATAGTAGATCTATTTTGCCTGAACCCTGCTTGATATTCCCCGATAATTTTTTCAGTGAGGGGTTGAAGTCTTCGATTAAGAATCTTTGTGAGTATTTTGTATCCCGAACAAAGTAAAGAGATGCCTCTATAATTCTGGCATAACAGTTTGTCTCCTTTTTTATGAATAGGGCAGATTATACTTCTCTTCCATTGTTGTGGGATTTTTTCTTCTCTCCATATTTCTTGTATAAGCTGGTACATCTGTTCTGTCAAATTTGTTCCTCCCTGCTTGAACAGTTCTGCCGGTATCTTATCTATTCCCGGCGCTTTATGGCTTTTTTGCATTTGGATTGCTGTTCGAACCTCCTCTAACGTTGGAGGTCTAGCCAATTCATTATCTTCTCTATCTTCCCACAGCTCCTGTTGTTGACCTTCCTGTTCTACCTGCTGCTGTCGCTGTTGTAGTGGTGTTTGTGCCCTTTCGTTTAATAATTCCTTAAAATACATCATCCAGGTTCTCTTAATTTCGTCCATATTGCTAATTATTTCCCCATTCTTATTTTTGCATAGGCTAGTCTTCGGTTTGTAAACCTGTCTTAAATGTTTGATAAGTTGGTATGCACTGCGTGTTTCGTTTTCCTTGAACGCCCTCTCTATGTTTAGTATCCGGTTGTTTTCGTACCGTCTCTTTTTCTGTCTGCATAGTTTATCAGCTCTTCGTCTTTTATTCTCAAATTCTGTCCTTCTCTCTCTAGTTCGTCTGAGTATGAAATTCTTATGTGCTTCATTTCTTTCGTGAATAGCTTGTTTGCATTCTTCATCGAACCACTGTTCTTCTCTCCGTTGAGTGTTTGTTCCAAGAACTTCTTGTGCCGCGTTTAGTATGATAGTGCTTATGGTGTTCCAATGATTTTCTATTGTGAATTCTTCTATGTTTTCTTCTAGTAATTTTTCACTCACTGTTCTCTCAAATCTTTCTTGTATCTCAGAGACTTTTAGGTTATCTAAGTTTAGTTTTTCTTGTTTCGGATATTTTTCCTTTGCTTGTCGACTGATTTTACATCTAAACCGTATCTGTACTAGTAGATGATCGGAGTCACAGCTTGCTCCACGCCTACTTTTTACATCTAATATACTTGTGGCCATTCTTCTTTCAACCAGTACGTGGTCTATTTGATTGACTGTGTTTCCGTCAGGTGATATCCAAGTGCCCTTATGTATGTCCCGATGTGGGAAGCAGGTCGAACTGATAACCATATTCTTTCCAGCTGCGAAGTCTATTAGAAACTGACCATTCTCATTTGTCTCTCTATGCAGACTATGTTTCCCTATTACCCCTATG